CTCTGTATCTTCAAGGGCTTTCAGTTTCTCACTTTCAGCTGGGAGGAAAGGCTTTGGGTCATGCTGCCTTCTCTCTGTGTACGTGCGGTAATAAAAATATTTACTATTTGGGTTGTACTGGGATATTAACTTTCACTGCTAAGCTGCAGGTCTGATGTGTATTGCATGAAGTTGATTTGTATAGGCTCCTGACAGTGAATTTAGCTGTAACTGTGAATCACACCTGTCCTAGGACAGACAACTTAGTTCAGCAAGCAAAAACCAGGACGGTCAGATATATCTGGGCTGAAAGTGGCACCCCACATGCCAGGGTTGTGCTGCTCGATTTCTCTGAGCTCCAGCTTCCACTGCCTCTGGGAGTCTGTTAGGAAAGAAGAGGTTTCCAGCCTGTCTTGTGCTTTGTTGTCTTCTCAAACAGTGGTGAAATCCCACAGATTGAGGCAGATATGACTATAACATACTCACAGTTTTTATACCGACAGAGTTCTGCTAAGCTAGGAGGAGTCACTCCAAAGTAAGCAGGAGCAGAATCAAGCCTTGCAATCACATTACTTCCTTCCACCCCCAGAAATACTCACTGACCTCCTCTTTTCCCTCCCATCAAGCAGTAGCAATGTGAAATTTGGGAAAACAGCAGCAGTGGGAGCTGCAGCAGCAGCTGCTCCTCGGAGCCGAGTCCCGATGAGGCCGGGAGCACATTCTTTCCTATGTTGTGGTTTGCTGACTCTTCTCTTTGTCTCGTGTGTAATGGGAACAGAGCTTGTGGAGCAGGGAGCACGCTTGCAACAAATGGCTCCTGTGGGTTTTCTTTTACTTCGTTTGGGCCTAATTCCAATCCCAATTGCATAGGTATGAACCTGAGGAAATTCTGCTGTTTGTCTGAATCTGCTCCAGGTTCACCCCTGCAGAACCAGCAGCAGAAACAGGCCCTGAAATACTTTCTGCAGCTGTTTATTGCTTGGCATTTTCCTTTGCCATGAAAATTATGTAACCTCCGAGGGCTGAAACCTCTCTGTCCTGCTTGACTCCGAAAGGCACATGAACCGCTTGTCAGCAGTGGGTCACTAGCCAGCCACAGAGGCGTTAGACTTGTGGGGCTTGGTACTTAGCAGAGAGCATCAGGCTGACTGGGCTTCTTCAGTGAGGAGAGTGCAGGGGGGAAGCCCAGGGCTCGGCTGGGTGACGGTGGTCATTTTGATTGACATGAGGAGTTGAACCAGGTAGCTGATGACCGAAAGCAGGCAATCTCTATGGCATGAGCCAACAAGATAGATCTGGCTGTAATATGGTCTTTGTTTGCAGACAGCCACAGCACTGGCTTGGTGGATCCATGGTTCGAACCTCTCTAGCTGGGTACTGGCTGCATGGCTTCTCTGTGGCTTCCCCTAGTTACTCATGAGAGTGGATGCTTTTTTCTGCACAGTGCTGATCTTTTTCATGCTTCATTATTTTTTCCTCATTATTTGGAAGTCTTCACAGTTCCTCTGAAATCTTACAGGAGTGTATCATTTGGTGGCCAAACAGGCCAGGCAAGGAATCTGTTTGTGGTTACTTACTGATGGCACTTTGGGACAACATGCCAACTCTGTCCAAGGCTCCTGTTAGCACAGGTATGCTGATTAACAGGAATTTGTCACTGTAAGGTTCTAAGGGAAAAACAAAAACACTGAAACTGCTGTAAAAATCCTGTTGTGTAGATGTCCAAGAATAACCTGTAGTGTAGAGCATCACTGAAAGACCCCAAGCTTTCTCTGTGCTTGGTAACTGAAGTTAAAAATGAGTATGGCTTTCAAGCATTGGCAATGGTCAGAAACCATCTTAGAGTATGCTTGGAGCCTCTCACTTGCCATGGGAAACCAAGGCATAAACCTCCTTGTCTGATCCAGCCATGAAGGGTGGTAAATTAGTTTATGCTGCTAGCAAAAGCGGTTCTGCAGTGTGAAAGATAAGACCCCAAAAGCAGTGAAATGCCTCAGTATTTTCAATAGTGTTGGGCAGCTTCTGTTTGTTGGTGTTGAGAGCAATTGACAGCATTTGGCAACTTAGTATATAGTTTAGCAAACATCTTATTGTTGTCATTTTCTGTTTAATCTGCCATTAAAATTGTGTTGCTGATCATGTGGGGTCAGGCCTCTGGGACAACAGATGAAACTATTAGGACAAACCCCAGAAGCATCCAAAACATCTGTGTATAAAACAGCAAATAAAAAGACTTTACAAACAGGAATATTTAGAGGTGAGCTTGGGTGGGAGGGGAAAATCAGGTTCTTCTATAAGCCAGGCCACCTCCACTGGTGTTCGTGAGGGGTTTGACATGAGCAGCATTGGTGGCATTTGGGCATCGTTTGCAGTGGGAGATAACACATTTGGGCTTGGAGGAGTGTGGTGGGGAAAGTGATTAAGTGCTGACCACTTCACTGATACTCTTTATATGGGATTTTGAAACAGTAAAATTCTCTTGCCAGTATTTCTGTCTGGCTTTGACACTTCCCAGATGACAGATTGGGACAGTTTGACGCTTCCCAGCTGATAAACATGTGGGTGCAGAATTCCTCCTAGGGGAGGATGAGAGCCCCTGCCATGCTGAAGTACGTCTGCTCAACAGGGTTGTAGCTCAGTGATGTAGAGCCAGGCACTCTGAGAGCACAGTACGATTCCCATGATAGAGACCTCCCTAGCTTTTTAGAGGTGGGCGTCTATAGATTTATGACAGCCAATTCATAGTCTCACTGGTTGTACCCTTTCCAAGAAAAGGTGTTTCATTATAAAGTACCTGGAAGTGCACAGTATTAAGGTTATCTGTGCATTTTTACTTTAAATGTCTTCATGTTTTTCCACTGTTAGTGGCTTATGATTTTTCTTGAATTTTCAGTGTCTAGGCTGTTTTACCAAGCTATTATTTGCCTAAAGGGTAGATAAAAAAAAAAAGTAATTCCGGCAGTCCTAAGAAGGTACTAGAAATGATGATTTGTTGCTGTTATAAAGAAAATTTCGTTGCTACTTTCTTTTTTGGATTGCATCAGTGCCTCTGCAGCTGGCAGCAGAAATTTGATACCTCATTCAAAATAGGTCAGTCTTTTCCAAGTAAGAAACTGTGGCTATTCAAAAAAATGGGTAGGGAAGTGACTCCACTGGAAATTTCAGGAATTGGATTTAAGTGGGATGGCAAGCTCAGAATGAAACTGAAAGAGTCGACTCCAGGGGAGAAAGAATTAAAAAAAAAAAAGGGGGAGCTGTAAATACATCTTGCATAGTTTCAGGGAAAATCTCTTTGAGTTCATCATGTTTAGAAATTTACCTTGGGACTTTCAGAAAAATCCTGGAGAATTACATGTGTTGAACCGCCTCAGATTCCTTTTGGGAAGGCAGTCCTTAAAGTACATACCTTGCATCAGCAATGAGATGAGAAAAGGGCTCACTTGCTAATAGTGCCAGCACCTTTCATTGGTGCTGTTCACGAATACATAAATGCGTCGTCGT